ACTTCAGCTGACATTTGAATGAATCAAAAGATTTGATTTCTCTCAACGTACTTGGTAAAGCATTCCAGATCTTGGGGCCTTGGTACATACAAATAAAAGAAGACGGAGAGATAAGGGCTATAGATGTTTGATAGCAAACAGAGCACCCACCAACCACCCGCGAGAACTGCTTAAATGTCTATGATAATATGAAGTTATCGTTGGTGGTTTGGAGATTTCATGTGTTGTGAATTACTGAAATATTTTTGGATAAAATGAATCTATAATTGATGGACTGCTAACCCCATGCATGTCAACGGGGATTATTTAACAATTTCTGAGACCACAGAGAGGGTTTTGTTGTTGTTGTTGTTGTTGCTGGTGTTGTTGTAGTTGTTGCTGTTGTTGTTGTAGTTGCTGTTGTCATTGTTGTTGTCGTGGTTGATGATAATATTGTTGCAGTTGTTGTTGTTGTTGCTGTTGTAGTTATTGTTGTCGTGGTTGATGATGATATTGTTGTAGTTGTTGTTGATGATTTTATTGTAAATGTTGTTGTTGTAGTTGTTGTTGATGATGATTTCGTTGTAAAATGTTGTTGTCGCTGTTGTTGTAGTTGTAGTCGTTGTCGTTATTGGTGGTGGGGTTTTTTGTTGGTTGTTAAGTTACCTGTTGATGTTGTTGTTTCTGGATTTTTTGCATTTAATTTTTAATTGATTATTTGTTGTTGGTTTTTTTTTCTTTTTTCTTGTTTTTTTTTTTTTTTTTTGGGGGGGGGGGGGAGCGTTGTTAGCTGTTTCAAGCACTGACCTGTGGGTGGGAGGCCATGTGACGCTGCAGGTCCTGCCATGTGGTGAAGGTGGCGTAACAGATGTGACATCGCTGGATGGTGTCCGTCATGTGACGCCGCTCATGCATGCGGTAACTTCCGCTCTGGGCGAACGTGTGACCGAGTGTCTGGAAGGCGAGGGAGGAGAGAGGTGATATTGTTGTTATTATAGTTTTGGTGAGTTGAGAAATGATAATTTGTTGTTGTAGTTTTGGTGAGTTGAGAAAGAATAATTTGTTGTTGCAGTTTTGGTGAGTTGAGAAATGATAATTTATTGTTATAGCTTTTGTCAGTTGCACTGGGAATTGTGTGGTTTTAGTAGTAAGAGTTTTACGGCACTTGCAACACAATATGGTCACACAAGTGCCGGAGATTACAGCCGTTACAAGGGAGTTTAGTTTTAGTTAGCAATCACAAAAGAAAAATTAGGAGAGAGAGAGAGAGAGAGAGAGAGAGAGAGAGAGAGAGAGAGAGAGAGAGAGAGAGAGAGAGAGAGAGAGAAGAAACAAATCGAAGGTGAAGTAAGTATCGATACACCTTCATGCAAGTAACCATAATAACCACAATAGGTAGACAGACTTATTGATCGATAGGTAACATTATGATGAAAAGAAAAGGGACGTTACGCTCCAACATAATTAATCGGAAACGAATATAGAAAATCGAAACGCTAGAGGCTGTCGGGAAATTCTATTCCCTGGTAACCTATTATTCAGACATCTATGGGAAGACGTACTCAGACGAGATGATGCTCCAAATAACTCTTCATATATTGCCTTTCTGAAGCACACATGGTGCACTCCCCCGCACGCCTCTTCAGCCATACAGATTTCGTTTACGTAGTGGTTGCGCATGCGTGGAAAAGATGTAAATCATATTTATTTGGCACGGGCGTTGTACAGATAGCTTTGATGGACACCTATGATATCAGGCCTGTCCAATCTGATTTGCATTAT